AAATTCAGCACCCTTGAAGACTCGAGGTTTCAATTTCAAGAACTTAGTGAAACGTTCGTGCTGATCACTCGTCATTATAGGCCCTGTAGTCAATCGAGAAAACGTGCCTATTTCCAATGAGGCATCCATGCGGGGAGCCACAGTAGCTCCATGTTGTACTCCCGGAACCTGAGGTGCTGGTGCAGAAAACACTGGAGGCGTTTGGCCTTGATCGAATAACCCGCTAAGATAAGCAAGAATCTGGTTAATCATCTCTGGGGTAGGTTGGGGTGGTAATTCCTCATTCTGCATTTGCTCATTCTCCTCTTCCTCACCCTCTCTTACTACTTCCTCAGTCGTTTGAGGAGTCACCGCCCTAGTACTAGATGGGCCAGGTGCTTGTCCTCTTCCTCTAGAGGACGTCTTCCCGTGACCTCTACCACGACCTCTTGCCACTGCTCCTCTTCGATCTACAGCCTCACTGGCTGGTTCAGACGCATCTTGTCTTGCCGGTGTTGGTGTTGGCGTAGTTGTTGCTCTAGTTCTAACCATCTGCAAAATAGAGTGAAGATGGTCAGATACAAATTTGTATCACCTTGATACCAACTGGATCCAAGTAATAGCACGAAAGAAAGAAAGAATAGAATTTTCCTAAAGTTTATAGCCTCTCAAAGAAAAGTAAAGGCGCCCCTCTATCGTTCCTCAAGACTCTACTAGACTCGCTCTTGTGTGATGAGACCAACGAACCTAAGGCTCTGATACCAAGTTTGTCACGACCCAAAACGATCCGCGAGTGGCACCCACACTTATCCTACTATGTGAGTGAACCAACCAATCTAAACCCCAACATTTAAACCATAATAAACAAAATATAATGCGGAAGACTTAAAACTCAATACTGAACATCAATTAAATAACTTCTAATACTCAAAACTTATTATAATCCCCAAAATCTGGAAGTCATCACCACAAGAACATTCTATCCTCAAATTACTAAATCTAAGTGTATCTAGGAAGCTAAAATAAGTAAACAGATGGTCCATGTCCGAACTTCAAGGACATCAAGACATGAATGAGAAAGAATCCAGTCCGAGCTAGGAACAATAGCTCACCTTGAAATCTGACGTGATGAAGACTGGCTAGAGTTGAGGACGAGTTGAAGTCGATGGCACGTTTGCTTCACTCCACAAATAACAAAGAAGAAAATTGCAAGTAGGTGTCAGTACAAGGCACAAGTACTGAGTAGGTATCATCGGCCAACTCAAAATAGAAAGCAATATATATCAGATAATAACATAAAATCAACCATAATACCTAACAGGTGATGAAAACAAGTACAAGAATCATTGACCACAACCCAAGCACATCTATGAGGACTCAAGCCTCCACACCATACTCATTTGGGAAATAGGTTCTTTAAATTGAGTATAATATCATAATTGAAGATTCTTTCTCTTTATCATCCTGGTGTCAGAACGTGACTCTCCGATCCCCTACTACTACATGTCGGTTCATGACACCCGATCCCCTAATTCTACATATCGGTTTGTGACACCCGATCCCCTAATTCTACGTGTCGGTTCGTGACACCGATCCCCTAATACTACGTGTCGATTCGTGACACCCGCTCCATTAACCTCATTCTTTTAGTTCATCAAGCCTTCTTTTATATCAAGGCATCATCATTTATAGAGTGGATTTATGGTTTTTAAGATTCCACAGTATCATCATTATAATCCATCACCATTCACATAATCACAACATGCAACAACACAATTAAGCATATAGAAGACATTACAATACCACCCAACACATATCAATCGCTATTTAGAGTTTACTATGAAATAGCATAAACCATAACCTACCTCCACCGAAGAATCGTGATCAAGCAATCTACTTCTCCAATGTCCTTCCTGTCTCCTCGTTCTTCTCTCTCGCGCTCGTTCTCTCTTCTTTTCTTTTACCCTAATTATCATATAATTCCTTATGATAACAGTAACCCATTATTCATTTTAAGTTACCTCCTTTAACCCCCAAGTAAATAAGTTATTAAACATTCCCACTAATTTCATACCATTTGTCATAAATAGTCCAAAACACCCTTTTAAAACTTTAGCAGAAATCCGACCCAGTCAGGGTTACGCAGCTCGTGACGGCCCGTCGTGCCTGCGACAGTCTGTCCTGCAGGGTCGTCACAGAGTTCTGAGACTCAATTAAAGTAGGAAGGTCTGTGACGGTCCGTCGTGTCTACGAAGGTCCGTGCTGCAGTTCCGTCGCAAAGTTCAGAGAGTTGATCCTCGTACCCAATTTTTCAGAGTTTAAGTGTTTTGGGACGGAGACCCTCAACGATCCGTCGTGACCACGACGGTCCATCGACACAGTCAGTTATTTTCAAAACTAAACAGGTACTTTTCTATATTTCTTGCTCAAAAACCTCCGCATTCATCTTTTAGACAGATTTCCTGCAAATAAAGAGAAGCTTACATAAAATTTAGTAGAAAAATGCTTTTGGACACACTAAACTTAAGAAAAAAAGTATTAAAAATACTATGAAACCACGGTATATCAATTACATATGAAGTTTAACAACCCTATATTAATGCTCCACATTTTTCAAAGATGTGATTTCTTTCCAAAGTAAATATCCTTTCCTAACAACGTTCTCAAGGCTGAATTCTAGGAGTGAGTATTCCCTCTTACTTAGTCTAATTATGATTTGTATTTTGGATGAGTTAATAGTCAAACATCTAATTAGTTTAATAGAGTATTAAATAGTAAAATTAAAATTACCTCAAGGATCTATAGTAAAACTTTTAAATTCAAAGACTCAGATACACGTTTTAATGAGATTACATTTGAAGTTTAACAACCCTATATTAATGCTCCACATTTTCCAAAGATGTGCAATTTTTTAAAAGTAAACTTTCTATCCTAACAAATTTCTTAAGGCGGAATTCTAGGATTATGAATTCCTTATTAAATCAATGTAATTGTCTTATTTATTACTAATTACTATGATTTATATTTTTCATCTTCCTATTCATTCAAACTAGACTAGATTCCACGTTCAAAATAGTAATTAGTTGCAATGTTCATTCTCTTACTTAGTCTAATTATGATTTGTATTTTGGATGAGTTAATAGTCAAACATCTAATTAGTTTAATAGAATATTAAATAGTAAAATTAAAATTACCTCAAGAATTTATAGTAAAACTTTTAAATTCAAAGACTCAGATACACGTTTTAATGAGATTACATTTGAAGTTTAACAACCCTATATTAATGCTCCACATTTTCCAAAGATGTGCAATTTTTTCAAAGTAAACTTTCTATCCTAACAAATTTCTTAAGGATGAATTCTAGGATTATGTATTCCTTATTAATATCAATGTAATTTTCTTATTTATTACTAATTACTATGAATTATATTTTTCATCTTCATATCCATTCAAACTAGACTAGATTCCACGTTCAAAAAAATAATTAGTTACAATGTTCATTCTCTTACTTAGTCTAATTATAATTTGTATTTTGGATGAGTTAATAGTCAAACATCTAATTAGTTTAATAGAGTATTAAATAGTAAAATTAAAATTACCTCAAGGATTTATAGTAAAACTTTTTAATTCAATGACTCAGATACATGTTTTACTGAGATTACGTTTGAAGTTTAACAACCCTATATTAATGCTCCACATTTTCCGAAGATGTGCAATTTTTTCAAAATAAACTTTCTATCCTAACAAATTTCTTAAGGTTGAATTCTAGGATTATGAATTCCTTATTAATATCAATGTAATTTTCTTATTCATTACTAATTACTATGATTTATATTTTTCATCTTCCTATCCATTCAAACTAGACTAGATTCCACGTCAAAACAACAATTAGTTGCAATGTTCATTCTCTTACTTAGTCTAATTATAATTTGTATTTTTCATCTTCCCATTTATTAAAAAACTACTATTTAGAATTGAAAATAGAATTTGATCAAACATCTTCAGTACTATTTAAGAATTAGATGGTAACAATTAAAAAGTGAAAGAAACTGTCGAATAGGCTAATTAAAAAAAATATCACATGTATGATAGGCAAAAAAAGATAGAAAGAAATGGTATAAAGGAGTAAATAGAATACATGGAGTGAAGAACTTGAAGATTTTTCTCACATATGCCTAAGTCTTCATATTTCCTTCTGTTTTTCATTAGGAAGATTGTTGTTCATTATAATTTCTTTTGCACTTCTAATGAGCTCATTGTGGTGTTGGAATATTTTAACTATTATTATGAGCTTTTGAAATAGATATATCTGTCTGTTATTCTTTATCTGTCACTTTTATCTGTCTGTTAATCTTATAAAATGTAGTGTATCTTTATGTATTCTTTGATTAGCCTTCTAATTCTATAGCTTTACTTAAATAATACAAATATTTCATGCTCTTTTCTTAATTAACATCACATAATTCTTGGTTGATGCCAAATATTCAATCAAGACTTTGATCAAAATAAGCCATTCTATAAATCAATGTACCAAAATAGTATGTTTTAATGTTTTTTTAAAAAATTAGTATAAATGTGGTTCACAGTAACGGTTTATGCTTTATTTTATTTTAAAAAATTTAATGGAAAAAAAGCAAAAGTTCACGGAGCAAACAGAAATAAAACGTTATTGGCAATAACGTTTTATACTTCGTTATCTCGAATCACATTTTAGAGCTAAAATGTTACCCAAAGTAATGTTTTATATTTTAGTACTGTAGACACGTTTTATCCAGTCACGGGCTCTGCAATTAAAGAATCGAATCCTGTATTTTACAGATTATAAAACGTAACTGATAATCACGTTTATCATATAAAACGTAACTGCAAATCACGTTTTATGTATATTTAATCACGGGGCATCAGATTGAGAATAAAATCCTGCTACATTGGAATCTTACAGATCATAAAACGTTATCGCTGATCACATTTCTACATTAAATCGTGACTATCAATTACGACACTATGTTAAAGTCAATTTTTTTATTTTTTTACTGACGACAAATGGTTATAAAATGAACCTTGTTGAAACAAATGTTCTATACACTCCAACAATATTCATTCAAAATTTTGTTTGTGTAGCTCAATTTTGAAACAATATTTACAAAGCTATGAATTAAATAAGTCAAGTGAATATATCATATTGTGTTATTATTTTTACCATAGCTTTTAAATATTTTTCTAATTTATTACTTAGAAAGATGACTTATATTTATGTGTAGGAATAAAAATGGCAAATTTTGAACATAATGTGATGGTTGCTTTGTACTGGGGTGGCGAAATAATTACTGAAATGAACAGATGCAGATATACTGAATGTGCTAGAATTATTATTAACATGTATACTTCAATGAAGTATGTTGAATTGGTTGAATTATTGCATGAGAAAATGGGTATAACTAGTGAAAATATTCAAATGGATATTTCGGAAAAATATCATTGTTCGATTCAAGATAACCATACAAGGTTCATTGAGTTTAATTTTCATGATGATCAATCTTTGCTACAATTTTTTGTTATACCTCAAAACTTTGTGGATAAGATTGACATAAATGTTTTGGAAATGTATGTAAAGACCAAATCAAAATGATATATTTCAAATTAGAGGTCAACATGGTTATCACATGAATTTATTGTCTCAAAATTATGGATTTTCCACGGCAAGTCAACCTCATTTTGCAGAGTCGATTGCTCAACCACCATTTCAACAATTGTTAATGCATGATCAACGATCATTTGGCGAAGGTTCAAGTAGCCAAAGACATGTTGACAGTAGTCCGAGGAAATATGGGGACAGGTAAAACAACAAATTTATGTTTTAATGAATTTTAATATAATTAGTTGATAACACAATTTTACTCATTATAAATATACATATAAAGATAGATAGTGATATTTTTTGTGATTAATTACCTTAACTTTTTTAAGGAATAACCTTATGGAGAATAAATTATTGATTTTAAAATAAGCTTCTATGTATCATAATTTCTAAAATTTAATTGAATTTCTTTTTCCACAGAGAAAATGAGAACAATGTTGATCCATATAGTGATGTAAATGCTGAAATTAGTGAAGAAAGTTCAAAGGAAGATGAACCTTCAAAAGATGATGGTGAAAGTGAATCAGATGAAGATATCAATAATGCTAGAGATTTTTCTCAAAATGACATTGGTATAAATCTTCCTAGTCAATTTGAAAGGGATGTGTCTGAAGTGCAAAATGATGTACCCTATTTTAGAATATTAGATAACGAGGAAGACATTTTTATGTCTACATGTGCATCTGAGATAGAGTATTATTCCGTCTTGTTTGAAAATGGCACAAAAGATTTGAAAAAAGGTATGTTTTTTAATAGTTAAGAAAAATTAAAACGAGCTGTGACAATTTGGAGTTTGAAAAAAAATAAAGAATTCAAGGTGGTGACATCAAACAAGAGTTTATGGGTTGCAAGATGCAAGTTTCATACTTCATTGGGTTGCTTGTGCTTTCCCGAGGACGAAAGGTTGGAGATAACCTTTGGAAAATACGAAAATATATTGAAAATCATAGATGTGAGACTGAGGGGCTTTCTAGAGGTCATGCCAATCTAAATACCAATTTAATTGCATCTTTGATTATTAATCAAATTGAGAAAAAATCCTAAGGTTTTGGTGGTAGATGTCATTTCCAAGGTTCACAAAAAATTTGGTCATAGAATAACATACAGAAAAGCGTGGATTGGTCATCAAATAACATACAAAAATTTTGAGTATAAATTCATTGTAAACTATTTCAATAACTGAGTTGTTTGATCTGGGAAAAAAATAAGTATTCATCAACATCTCCATACCATTAGAGACTGAATTAAAACGAAACTTGTTAATATTTGCATTTCTTATTTTATAATTGAACTTTATGAATATAATTTTTTAATAAAATAATAAGGGACAAATGTGTAACACACGTTTCAGATACTAGTTTAATAAAATGTGTCATATACAATAGTCCTGCTATATATATACACACTAAAGAAGATGTCAATTACAAAGTAAATCTTATGTCATGTAACAAACTCCTAACAAATTTGAATAAAGAAAATGCATAATAAAATGTATTTACACGTTATTAAACTAAATTACCCCTTCTATACTATTCTAAAGGTATATACACATGCCCACTTGTTTTTTATAGCATGAGTTCAATCATACTTAGACTTATTTTTTATAGTCATGTGTTCAATCAAACTTAGGGAAAGCAAGATGTTCTTCCTTTCTCCTACAAACTAAGTGACCTCATTATCTTCCTTCTTCTTTTTATATCCATTGTGTGTCACTTGAACTATTGTCGAAGATGATCTTTTGGCAACTCCCCAAGTTGGAGATCCCAGATCGAACACCCAACTTGCTCAACATAAGTCGATGCAAAGGACCAAAGAGGGCTTTGGTGAACATATTAGCGATTTGAGAGGATGAAGGCATGAACGAAAGGGAGATTAAGCCATCAAGAAATTTTTCACTAGCAAAATGACAATCTAACTTAATATGTTTAGTGTGTTCATGAAAGACTGAATTTTTAGCAATGTGGATGACGGCTTGACTGTCACAGTGAAGAGGAATTGGGAGAAAATTCGAAGGAGCATAGAGATCCATAAGCAATCTAGGAAGCCACATAATCTCAGCAACGAGACGACGCATGAACCTATATTCAGCTTCTGTAGATGAGAGATCAACAAATGGTTGTTTCTTAGATTTCCAAGAAACTGGAGAACCCCCCAAACTAAGAGATCCACTTACAAACCTTCGTGAATAAGAACAATTGGCCTACTCAGAATCGTAATAAGAAAGTAATTGAAATGACAGATCTGGAGACATCAATAATCCAAGATCAAGATCCAGCACTAATATATCAAGAGTATGGAAGGAAGCCTGGTAATGCCATGTAATAGGGCAATTGCATGTATTGACTCAAAGATTGAATGACAAAGGAGAGGTTTGGTCGAGTATTAGTTAACAAATTGAGCTTTCCAAGTAATCGTATGTGAATCAATGGATCTGGCATCAATGATCCAGAATCAGAAGTGAGCTTAAGAGTGGGATCTAAATAAAATGTTGCAGGTATAAAGTATAAACAATCAAATTCTGCTAGAAGATCCCGAGCAAATTTTCGTTGTGTAACAATCAGTCCCCCTTGATCATAAAAAAGTTTGATACCTACGAAATAATGAGCCAAACCCAAATCCTTTTTCTTAAAATATTATGAAGGAAAATTTTTATCTCAGATATCTCAAAAGCATTCTTTCTAGTGATGAGAATGTTGTCGACATAAACAGCGATGATGGTGATCAAACAATCAATAGACTTGAAAAACAAAAAGTAATCATTGAGAGAAAAGGTGAAACCTCTAGTTCCAAAGGCAGATGATAGACATGCATACCATTGACGAGGGCATGTTTGAGCCCATACAACGATTTTTGAAGTCGAAAAATAAGAGAAGGTGAAGGAGCCATTATGCCAGGTGGAAATCACATATATGCCTCTTATCCAATTCACCATATAAGAAAACATTATTCACATCTAATTGATATAAATTTCAATTTATTTTGACAGAAATGATTAGGATCCATCTGATTGTAATATGTTTAACGACTGACAAGAAAGTTTTGGTATAATCTAATCCTTTGTGTGTCCCCTCAAACAACCAGTCTTGCCTTTAATCGCTTAAAGGAACCATCATATTGCAATTTGACTTTGTATACCCGTTTGCATGCTAGTGCTTTCTTTCCCTCCAATAGGGGAACTACATCTCATATCGGTTAGCATACAATGCACCAAACTCTTGGCTCATAGCAGCTACACATCCTGGATGTTGAACTGCTTGAAGGTAAGAAGATGGTTCTGTAATTTGACAAATGGAAAACACTAGGTTCTGATTTTCCTATGTTAGAGTAGAACAAGGAAACGAATGCAAAGGCAGAATAGGAGGATCGGGAGAAAAATCAAAAAATGAAGCATTGCATATGTAATCAAACAAAAATCTCTCTTTGTGACTGCCTTAAGGCTGGCTGTGAAGCTAAGACCTCACCCTCATGTGGAACATGTGACAGTGATTGAATAGTAGGAACAGTAAAAACAGAAGAACAAGTAGATATGGAATCATTTGTGGGTGAAGAAGGGATTGGAGACGTAGGATGTATAAGTAAGGAATGAAGAGGAATAGAACTAGATTGATCAGGTGACTCATCAATAAAAGGAAAATTGTTAAGAAAAAGTTTATATAGCTGTAGTATAAGCAATTGGAAAAATATCTTCAATAAACTTAACATTCCTAAACACAAATATTTGTTTATTCCAAAAATTCAAAATTTTGTAACCCTTTTTCCCAAAAGGATATCCAAAAAAAATCTCAGGAACTTCCCTCCATTATCTTTTAGGTGTGTGAGAATTGTATAACAAAGCTCTACATGTTTCCAAAATATGTCTATGTTTACGCTCTACAACCCCATTTTATTGTGGACTTACCACACAAGCAGTTTGATGAACTATGCCTTGAGAATATATATAACCTTTTGGGACATATCTGATACCTAGTTCAAAATCATTATCCGATCTTATAATATTTACTTTTATAGTAACTTTTCGTTCCACAAAAGATAAGAATGATTTCAATATAGGAAATGCACTTACTTTGGTACTAATAAGAAAAGTTCAAACACTTCTTGTGTAGTCACCAACAATGGTAAGAAAGTATTTTTTCCCTTTGTAAGTAGGTGTTCTACAAGGAACCCAAGTGTCAATATGTATTAGCTCAAAAAAAAGAGTAGAAGTGATGGGCTTGTTTTTCTAAGGGAAAATAGTACAAGGAAAAGCTTTACCGCTTGTGATTATAATTAGTAAGCATGTAATCTGTTTCATAGCTTGAAAAGATAAATGACCTAATGTATTGTTCCACAATTTTTTCAAAATAGTAACATTGCAAACTGGAAGTTTTTCATTAACTTTGAAATTCGTAGGATAAAAAGACTCTGAAGGCTAAAGCATGAAGTTCTTGGACAACTAAATGGTAAAAGTGGAATCTATACTACTATATTGAACTAAATGATTAGAAAGAAATATAGGCGACATGGACTTAATAAAACTGTCATCCAATGAATGTGAAGATCCTTGCAACACCTAAAGACCAATTGAGACATCTCCAAAAAAAGGTTGACCCTTCCTCTAAAAAAGGACATGTAGAGTACATCCAAATTTGGTAAAAGTCAAATTACAATGAAATTGCTCACATATTATTTTATAACTAAGGGAAGATTATGTGTGAATGCAAGGACAAGAAAGTCATTATGAGGAACAATGTGAGGTGCTAAGTGTGTTTTTCCTACACATGTTACAGAAACTTGATGAGAATTCGGCAAATCTACCATTATAGGTGAGTTAAAAAATAAAACATCATGTAGTAAAGACTTGTCAAATGTCATATGATGACTTGACCTTAGTCAATGATCCAAGAATTTTTAGGAGACTTATGAGGAAAAGGAGAAAGGATTTTAAAAGCAGTCTTCATACCAGTCATATTAGCAGTTGCATTGAGTTCAAAGTTTGAGGTACTGGAGCTTCCTCCTCCCTGTATTGAAATAAATAGTTATTTTATTTGTTTACATGGTTACTTTGAGAAATTCTGATTTGTGATTAAGCTGGATGTTGTGTTTCCCTATTTGTTAGTGATGAATTCATTTGTCTCTGTAATGTTTGCTTGGTGATTTCTAGAATTCTCCTTTCCTTGCTTACTGATCTTGTAGTGTGATGGATATCTTACCTGTTTGTAGCACTATTCTTTTTTATGCATTAACTTTTTTCATTATCTGCAAATCAAATCAAACTTCTTTTCTTGTTGTGGGTAGTTGTTTGCTTGATTTTGATAGTTGATCATGTTTTCTATATGCTTCCTCTGGGAATTCCATCTATGTCGATAGAGCCGTCAAAATGGGCTTGTCCCGCGAGGCCGGCCCAACCTAACCCTTGAAATAAGTGGGGTTGGGCTTAGTATTTTCGGCTCATTTATAAACGAGGCTTTTTAGCCCGTCCCATTTGGCCTGTTGGCCTTGTAGGCTCACCCACAAGCCTCTGAGGCCAGCTCGTGGGCTATTAATTTTTTAAAATATTTATATATATATATATTTTAGTAGTGTTTTATTTGTAAAGATTTTATAAATAAATATTTTGAAAAATAAAAAATTAAGTTTTTTGCAATATTGCATGGTGAATTGTAAATGAAGATGAATTTCTTAAGGAAATAATATCACATGTTGATTCAAATATGATCGATGGTGAAAGTAGAAGTGGAGTTGTAAAACATTAATTAATGAGTCATGTAATATTTAGAAATTTAGATTTGTTAAGTATTTACTGTCTTGTGTAGCTGGAGATCTTTTAAACCAGCAAGTTTTTTGTGGGAGAAATGATGGAATGATCAACATTTATCCGCTAAATCTTTCGTTCGCTATTATGTATTTTTGTAAGTATTCATTTAAGTGTGTGATTTATAAATGTATTTTTTGTAAGTATTCACTGAAGTGTGTGATTGATAAATGAATTTTTGTATGAATTGATGTCGTGTTCATAGACGTCAACATTCGATACTCTTTATACGACGTTAGTATTGTTCATTATTTGGTTCAAGGGCCAACCCGTCCCAACCCGTGGCCCGCTTAGGACTGGGTTGGGCCATTGTTTTATTGGCTCTTTATTTAAAAGGGGCTGCCCGCCCAAACCCATTTAACTTTCTAGCCCGTTAGGGTATAGGCTGAGTTAGGTTGAGCCAGCCCATTTTGACACCTCTATATGTCGAGCCATGAAATCATTAGAGTTGGTAGTTATATTATGGGAGAAATGTACCTCTCTTTCTGTTTTTTGATGTAGTATGATGGACTAAGCTTGTGTCGCATTTGGTAGAGGCTTCATCATCAGAAAATTACCCCCTACTACATCATATGCTTCATTAAGACCCATTAGAAATTGAATTAGTTTTTGATCTTCAAGCAATTTTTTATTATGCTCCTTAGCCCCACAGTTACAAATACAAGAGCAAGTCAGAAATGTAGCCAGTTCTTTTAGCTGATTCTAGATCCTCTTCAGGTTGGTAAAGTAGGATGACACATCATTACATCCCTAATCTACCATGTTTAGCTCTCTTTGGAGTTGAAACAATCATGTGCCATCAGCTTGTCCATATTTTTGTTCAAATGTCTTCCATGGATCTGCAACAATTAGTGACTAATGGACACTCTCAGTTATCTCCCTGCTTAGAGAATTCAATATCCACGGAAGAACCATATCATTACAATGTGCCCATAATATAAAAAGAGTTGAATCTTTTGTTGGTAGTTTGCAGGATTCATTCACAAAACTCGGCTTATTTTTGGCTGATAAAGAAATAAGAATTTCCCTTTTTCAGTTGTCATAATTGGTGTCATCAAAGA